CCCTAGGTGAACTACCATTGTTTCACCAACCCGGTTATAGCCCTGGATGTCGGCTACCCGTCCGCTCCGCCACCATGAGAAGGTAGTGAGTAGGGATTCCTCAGCAGAGGCTGTTTGAGACGCTTGGACGTATAGGAGCATTTCTCGAGGTGCAAGGGACGGGTGACCAGCCGCAACCCTAGACATCTGCCCCGACAATACTGAGGCTTTCGGCCGGAGGCCGCGTTATATAAGCCATCTGTCCTTAAACCAGCTTGACCCATCTTTAAACCATCGGTATTCTCACGATCGTTCATGGAATCGGTAACCCAGGTTCAATCAACACGCTGTCTTGCTTGTTCCCATTTCTTGTGTTGGGTTACGGACCCCTAGCAATACTGTGCGTTAAAGTCACGATTAAAATTCGGTCTCAGCAATATGCCAGTCCAATTTACCAGTTCGGAAGTAGATGGTGAGCTAATGTACAGAAAGCTGTGTCTACTGTCATGTGGCTGATGCAAAAGTGTGTTGATGACAATTGAGAGCATTGAGCGAGAATGTGCCCCCACATCGCCCATCACCTACAGCCAATAAGCAACGCCTGGAGCGGTGGTAGCAGTAAGCAAAAATGACATAACATGTATTTGCGTTGATTATCGATGGATGCTAAATCCTCGATTGAGAAATTGTGCAACTAGCAGTCTAGAAACGGAGACTCCATAAAATGGATATGTGGCGGCGCATGCCTCTTGAAGATAGATGTGATGGAAGCAAAGTACCAGATCATCACGGTTTCTGTATGTGAAAAGTTTACTGTCATTAACTCGTCTTGGAGATTATGTCGGTGAAAATTTCCGTCGTTGTCTATACATTTTGTCAAGCAAAGTTGAAGTAGCTATTGATAATGTTATCACTGCACTTGACAGGGTGCTAGAGTACCAGGACGATGTTATTGTGTTTGGTGCAAACAAAACGGAACACGAAGGCCGTCATTTCAAATTGCACGAGCGTTTTACGCAAAATAATTCATCAATCTGGTTGTCCAAATGTGTGTGCATTTACCGGGAATCCGAATTCCCGCGATCCACTTTCGAGTATAACGGCTGAGGTCCAGTACCTAGTCGGTTCTTACCCCGTTTGATTGAGCTTGAAGCAATAAAAATACCAATCTTAAGATACCTAAAACATAACTCATGTTGCAGCCCACATTAATCTGGTAATGCCCAAACCCTGTTCGCGTGCCAATGGACGGGGATATTGGTGGAACTGCTGAGAATTGTAGAGCCCTCATCCACAAAATGAAGTCAAGGTGGCAGTACTGGACTCCATAGCCGGAAATCTATATGTTGTGGAGATGTGCACAAGCTGATTTATACGGTCCGTATCTTGGCCACTACCACTTTATTGGGCATGGTGTTCCGCAAATGTTTCTAGCTGATAACGGATCGCAACCCTCTTCAGAAAAAGTAAGAAGAAAGAAGACTGAGCAACTCAATAACCACCGGTAGATTTCCGTAGGCAACATTTATATTTCTCCTTCATATCCTTCAGATTTACTTCTTCATTTTTCAGATACTTTTCCATAGCTTTTAATGCAATAGCTTAATCTCTCACCATGTATCATCTGTGGTGACTCCAAACTTGTCGACATCAGCTTCGTGAATGTTCTTGGTCTGGCATACATGATGAGCTTCCCGATAAGGCTAAACGCTCATCTGGATATGATTTTATCGGTAATATTAGCATTTTTCCACATCTGCCCGGTTCCCTCTTGGGTCTTCCTACCACGCCCTTGTTAAAGTTTCGCCAATAGTGTAGAGCACATTCAACCGCATAACGCTTACAAAAAGACCCGACATAAAATTAAGGAAATGTCAGTGTGTGATGATTGTAGTAGTAGTAGTAGTAGTAGTAGTAGTAGTAGTAGTAGTCGTAGTAGTAGTAGTAGTAGTAATGCGAACGGAATTCGGAACACCAACCACGCAATGTGAATTACAGGACCCGAATCGATAATCAACTATCACGGACTGGATCGCAGAAGCAATGTCCCACGAGAACGAGACGCGAGGAAAAGGCCAGAGGACAAGCAGTAAGTAGTTCGTTTATTGGAAGAAATGAAGGTGATTAAATAATATGTACAAAGGGAGATTATCGGCTACCTGGGCATCCACCAATTGGATTGCAGCACTGCTTGCATAATCTTGCTTCTGCCTGCATTATCTAGGATTGGCCGGCACCATCCGCCAATGACGTGTATTCAGGACCGATGCACGTGCTATTGACGTCAGCATTCGAATTTGATCGATCGCCAATGTCCTGAAACCGTACCGTGCCGCTCCAGGGTAGACGCCATCGTGTAGGCCTGGATCACCACACAGTGTCAACAAGAGAGACACAGTGAAACTCAGGGTGATGGTCACCCAGACAGGCTTCAGTTTGTTCTACAACCCTAGCCCTTCTGTCTATTGTGATCACCCAACATAGTATCTAAACGTCTGCTACAACATATGCTGCCATTTGGAGACACTAAACGTTCGCTGAGACCGCATCTGGTCTCCTTATCTTAAATAGTTACGTCGATGCAAGAAAAGGGAACGCAAATGCAAAGATTTTCAGATAATGAAACTCTTATCATTTTCTGTCAAACGGTGAGCTGCAGAGACTGAACGGGATCTGCCATCGCACGTCCTTGCACAACAAGACCTGTCGGGACTCCAGGAACACCGTTTACCAGTTGAGTAGTCGATTCTCAATCGTGTTTCGAACAATGATAAACTTTGAGGATCTCAATAGACCATTCACTAAAGGAAATCAGTTACAGGGAAACCGGGCCGACCAACGACAGCACAAACATCGACCCCAGCGGTAAAATCCCAATAAATAACCCGGTCCCGACAGGTTGGAGGATACCATCTCAAAGGAGTAAGCCCACACACTTTAACCAGTGCTCATAGCCTTGTTTAACTGGTGCTAGTTGGAAATCAACCTCAATCACTCAGGTGCCTGGAAGAGAAAACTCAAAGTTCCGTTCCATTGCATGTGCGTTTTTTGTGTTAAAACCTTTCGAGAAGTTACTCCTTCAAGGAATGTCATCTCAGCTGACTGTGCGTACCACCGCTCTCGCTCTACGCTAATGGCTCTAGCCTCTCTGGTCAGCCCTCAATGAAAATAAAATAGCTGTCAGAATATGCTTCTTGGATTACAAAGAAGTCTTCAACTGTGTTAACAAGTCTAAGTAGATACGACATACCATAGCTGCGGTACTCACCGACTGTTTCACAAATCGATCGTAGTTCCCATGTTTCCTTGGTCGTTCCTCCTCTCCTTCAATCTCTTCACTAGACGTATTACATTGTCCCTTTCTTTTCCACTTATGTTCATCTCATCCATGCCTACTTTACACAATTCCCTGCTTTTAGAATACGCAGATGATGTTGTGGTTGAAAACTCCTCCCCGCCCCCTTAGTGCATCTGTCACCTCCATTCCTCAATCTGATCTCTCTAATCTTGCTGAGTGGTCCACTACACATAACTTAACTCCTAATCCATCTAAATGCGTAGGCATGCTATTCTCAATTCTCATGGACAACCGGCATGTCAATCTCCTATAATCTTGTCCCAAGTTGACAAACGTTGTGATACCATTATTCAGCCCGTAAATGTTCCGTATCTTGGTGTGTTACTCAGCCAAAATATATGCTGGTCTGACCAAGTTATTTCTATATTTGGAAAGATTAGAAAGTTATCATTTTATGTCTTACGCCTGAAAGTTTTATCTAACTCTCACTTTTTGTTCGGCCGTTTTGTTTTGGGTTACATTCTTTAATTCTGGTGTAATTTTGCTTGCATGGCTATATGGCTGCTGAGTTTTCACCACTTTGGGGGTGGATAAACCATCTAATTGGCTTGACTGACTTAACTTTTGATAATGAGGCGCACATCTAACATTCCATCTTTAATCATCTACCCATCGCCCTCCATAATTGTGTGACCTGCACGGTGCTTCGAGTGAGAGGTTTGCTTTAACACTTCCCGACCACCCTTCCCATTTATTGCATGGTGACTTTTTAACATCTTCCCACACTATCACTCGTTTAAAACTACGAAGACACTTTCGTCACGCATTATGTTTTGTACTGGAAGTTCCTGTTTCGTACCAAACGCGTTCACTTGTCGACAGGAATACGATAGCCATACCGTGATCCTATATTTACCTAAGCGCTCGTACTCAATCGCTTTACTGCTCTCTTCCTTGTGGATTTGAATTTATCGAATTCCAACCCGATCGATCCGCTATCGAGATTGATTATAAGGCTCATTCGGAGCCCCTGACCGATTCCAATCGCTTATATAGGCGCACTGAAACGACGTGCATAGTCCCGCTGATCCTGTTACAAATGTGCATTTTCTTATTTGTGATACTACAATTCAACTTGTTTCACGTGACCATTCTCACTGACTCTGCACCTGTGTGTAGTAATCTGCCCGCATATACACACCCCAACACGTATCCGGAAGTGCCTTTCACTTCAACTACATATTATGGAGTGAGATTTGTTGCACAGTATGTGGATGAGAATACTGAACGACATAAAACGGAATTTGAGTTGACAGATCGAACAATCGTTACGCGGTTTGTCGCTTACAATCCTGTAAACAATGCCATTTTTCAGGATTGTTCCATGCACGAACCAGCGAAAGTCGGATGTTGTCCAGCTAATTTAAAGGACGAAAAATATCAATTTCCTTCAGACTGTAAATCTGTCGTATATTCAAAATATCGCGTGAAGAAACGAAGACTTTTGGTATGGGAGCATTTTGTTGGAAGACCGGATAAGAGGCACACCGTCATCAATATTTATGTGAAAATGCGTGATGAGGTAAGACGTTTCGTGTACGCCGACCCCATTCTTGATGGTCTAGGTAGTTGTAACCAAATAGCCAAGAATGGACATAGATCAGAATCGCCGAGTCTACTCAGAAGTATATCAGTGCCGGAAACAAAACAGATTCATTATACTATGCTTGAAACTATTTGTCCTATTAGTGAGTTTAGTAAACACCAGCTGTCTGTGCTAGTCTGGTCCGTATCAAACGAATTCGATACAAATATTTACGTGTACAGTCGGTCAAAATCCGGCACGCAGTTAAACTCAGTGAAACAGCAAAAGCTGAGCGTCAAAAATGAAGAACCGCTCAGTTCGTGGTTCCACGAAGCTGTTCAACTATATCCTCAATATACACGTTACGTGTGGTTGCATACGTTTGAGATTGATGTCGGCAGAAATGCGGTAGCTCTGCTCATTCTATCCGGTCTCCGGACTGATGAATTGGAGAGAAGCATTAGACCAGTCTTGAAAAATTGGATATTAAATGATCGTTCAGATGAAACAGTTGATTGGCCGAAGGAAAATATGATGGCTGTGCGGCTGGTTCGTTTGCTTATCACTCACAAGGCTGTACTACGAGCGGGAATGACCAAATTGATTCCGTTAGATGAATCCGAACGGGACGCGAAACGTGATCGGTTTTGTGCAATGCGACAACGGCGTTACGAGCCTTATCAAACACATTCGAGAGCACTTTCACGAGCAAATACGCAAAGTTTTATCATAGACCATGTGCAAACAACGGATTCTGGAATGTACCAGTGCGAACAGGCTATCCACTCTGGTGAATATGAGCCATTTGTCACCGATTACTTCATTATTGTGTTACCAAACCCGTCCGATTTTAAACTTTATGTCAGTCAGAAACCAATAGAAATGCAAGATGAATTACGTGATTACTACAGGTATATTCGAGACAATGACATCATATATATGCACGTAAATGAGCCCATAGTTGTGAACTGCGTGTACAATTTCTCTCGTGGATTAGACAACTACAACGGTTTACAATTTTATGACCTTATAGAACCGAAGAAAGGTCAAGAGCCACGTCCATTGGTTTCTAGACATTTGAGATCGACTGGGAAAACCATTACCATCATTCAATCTTATTTTATAGCCAATGAACCAAAACACGATAGCAACGAGGTGCACACTTTTGTTTGTGGTCATATGTACGAACAGAATTTCAAACGGGTGCGTGATAGTGAAGAATTGACAGAACTCGAGCGGTGGACAAAAGTTCAGCGTACCGCTCTATTCCGTATTCACCTGCCACCGAAACTGTTCACGAAATCAATCAAAATTGATTCGGTCGAATTAGAACAAGCTTTGCACAATGCAGCCGTGGATGAGACTAGTCTGACTGAATCGGGCAACAAATTGAATGTGAATACAAAGCTCATGGCTCGTATGGCTCGTGGTGAATTTGTTGCGGCATACGAGACTGAGGATTGTCTGTATTCGGTCTGGTTGTTAACTGCTGGCACAAATGCCCAGTCCTATTCCCATAGGCCCTGTGAAACACGGTCGGTTAAGTTGAGTGATAACGAAAAGAACTTACTGAATCAGGAAACCCGACTGAAGGAAGATCCGTTGTTTGAATTCCATAGGATTCACTTTAATTGTGGTTTGACATTGCAAAGCCGAGCAATTGTCTTACAAATTTTCTGTCGAAAACTAATCACTGTTGATTTGAAAGAAGCAAATTCCAAATTTACTTCACAGTTAAAAGATCAGATATCGTCGATAATAGGTAATGGGCAACCGACCGAACAGTTTCAGTCCAGTTCGAACATGTTCGTCGCCCTGTTCCGTGTCAGTCGATTAGATGTGTATTGGCTAGGAACAGTAGAGGCTGGGAAACCGATATACATTCCCTGTTCGTGTTCGAATCTGTCCAGTAAAGATATCAGGTGGAAATTTCGCGCAGAGGATTCTGAGTCTTTGAATGTTGTTTCGAATGAGTTTCAAACTATTCGAAATGGAGACTTGATTCAATTATTTAAACCAAAAGCCTCAGTCACAGATATTGGGATGTACGTGTGCATTTGTGAAAACGAAACGGACACGGAGGCGTTGAAACAGGGACGGAAATTGTTGGTTGCCCATGAGTTAATGAAAACAACCTATATCATAACACACGATCGGTCTGCACACTATCCTTCAAAAACAGTGATGCGTATGGGCGAATCGTGTCGAATCACATGCAGATTGTCTTTACCCAGAAGGTTTGACAACAAAACAGAGATTAAGCTGATTTATGAAACGGACATACAAACAGTTAAAACCGACTCAGAATATATTAGCGTTGAGAAGCCTCAGCAAGATATCAACGATACTTGGGCCGTTTACGATCAAACTTATCGTATCGCACCAAACATTGTGAATGATGGAGAAACAGCACGAGCGCGTTGTGTTTCCCTGGTGCATTTGGCAAAGGATTCACGTGATATCACACCGACTCCGAATGAGTTTGTGGTGAGCATTTCTATTGATCAAGGTCCGAAACCACGAATTTTCGACAGCTATCTGACAAGCACATCTTCATGTGCCCTGGACAATTATCCCGGGGACAAATGGCCGTTGAGCGCAATCGAGTTCCACAAAACCGGTTCCAAAGAGCGCAAGATGGAACACATAGCGGAATTTCATGTCACATATCTTGTGGGCAGAGGTGGACACTTTGAACGAATTTGGCTTCTACCGCTTGATGATCAAATCCAAAACTGTTCCAGGGTAAGCAGCCAACTACTCTATGACGAGAAAATCTGGAAACCAACGAGTAGGGTAGAGAGTACGTTTCGTTTATATAAAACCACTTTCGTTTGTAAGTTACAACCGAATTATCTGGCCATGGCAATTGTGGTCATGAACATCGGTGAAACAGCTGACTGGTCTGATATGATTGAAACAAAATTGTGGAAGTATCTTCAATCTCAAATTGCCCAATTCGATACTGACCCGAATGATGAGAAGAAAACGGAATTTATTTATGATCCAGGAACATGGGGTTCGATTCGTGTGCAAAAGCTCAAAGTGGGTTGGGCTGCAGCAGTTCAAGCCGGCCAACAATGGAGCATGCTCGTACGTCACCAACTAGAATATAACGACAGACTATACTTGTATTATAGACAAACTTTGGATGGGAGATATCATCTATCATCAATCTATAGTAATGTTGGCAAATATGATACCATATTAAAATACCCAAAACCTGTAACATTATCCGATACAGGATTCTATGATTGGTGGTATATAGACCATTCATGGAAGTTGCTGACATTGGCACGTTTTTTGAAAGTTATTCCGAATGGTGCTGTGATCAGTTTTCACGCTGAAGAATCGCTTCTAGATCCCGGTCTTCCACTGGGACCTAACCTATCCGGTATGGATCCGATTGGGGTGATTAATGAGGACAGAATTTATTACTTTTACTGTATAGTCGATGAGGAGGATGACAAGCCCAGTGCAGAAACTGTCACCCTGGAACTGATCGATCAGGGGCAAAAAACCATTGCGGTGAGACCGCTTGATCCCAGTAGACGTAAACCCGGGACACAATTTATATTCGAAGCTACCATTCCCAAGTACGGTTATCTTATCATACCATTGGAAGCGCGAATAGTGCTGACTTATCCGAGGTCTGTGCTTCCTGCTGAAACGGCAGTTGAGAGTGAGTCTGTGAGAGTGGTGAAGCACACAGTTCTTATGTCCCTCGCAGCCAGAGCACACCAACCGGTTTTCTTTCCAAATTTGATGGAATGTGACAAAAACTACGTGTTGGATAATATGCGAGGGCATGAGTACGAAACATTCAATATGGATCAGTTTGATCAGTCAGGCTATAGAGGAAAATTGGAAGAAGGTTGGATAAAATGCAAAATATTTTATGACACATTGGGTTACCCTTCAGCGGAATATGCTTATTTGTTCAGTAAATCTGGTAATCGTTATTTTCGCTGTGAAATGAAATCATGGAATTATATAACGGCCAGGAAGGGTCTACTGAAGTACCATGAAAGTAGAATGGGTGGGTACATATTCTACCGCCCTTTCGAATGTAAAGCTGATCATGAGATGGGTGCTTTGGTTGTAGTCGCATTGCATTGTGATAAGACTCTATGTTCGGATGTAGAAAGTGATTCGCGTCTGGTCGAATTTTATAGAGATGCTGTGAAACAATATTACGCTGGAGTGAGAAATAAAACCTTGCGATTCCCACCTTATAAATATACACGATTCGCTACATTTGTGCAACGGATAAATCCGCACTATCGTTCCCATACCATGGAAGATGAAATTTGGCGCTTTGTTGTTGATCACGGAGGAAGACCCGGAAGGCATCTTAAGTGCGAATTATATAACGAAGATGGCGAACGGATAATAACTTACTGGCCAAAGTATGATGCGGCTGGAGATTATTACCACTTCCGATCAGAGTTTCACGACACTGCCAGATATGTATGCACAACTGGAAAAACCGAACCACAGACTCGTTTTCTCACAGTACTTCCTAACATCAACCAAAGTAGCATTATCATTTCACGTTTTCTCTTTGCGAGCAATCAGGCGCCGAAAAATGATTACTACCATAAAGAGGACAATGTTCACTGGCCCCATTCGTTCAAAGAACCAATTTTCATATACGGATTAATTCCGGAAAAAGCGTACTATCGTTCTGGTCACCCGGATGGCACAATTCAAATACACGATATTGATTCCAACGGGAATCCATTTCGGGAAATTCCGGTTGAAAGATTGACGCCAGTAGTAGGCGTAGGTACTTACCGTTTCATTGTCAAAGTGGATCCATCTGCGTTTGCAGCATATGTCGGAGTGTGGAAAATAACTTTTCAATTACAATATGATCGGACACGGGTGGCTGAAAATGACATTAAGGGACCATATGGTCCATTGATAGCCACCACACAAATGTACACCACAGTGGAGGGATCTAACGCACAGTTTTTTGATCATCACATGTCGTGTAACATGGGGGGTGTTTCAGAAGATCTTCCAAAACAGGGTGCCGGAGTGTTCGATATGAAACTGATCCGCTCATCCTATCCATCTACTAGATACGAAGAAGATGAATTGATTTGTACTGTTTACTATGATCGTGGATTAGGGGAGCATTATTTGAGTGTTTGGTTGATAGATCATGATCATTCTCACGAAAAAGATTGTACTCTTGTAAATGTGTACGACCCAGAAATTGAGACTATTAAGGATTTACATGAACTAACTAAGAAGCGGCTTGTGACGAAAATTCGTTCGTTTAAGGTTTATTGCCCCCTCCAGGCAACATTTGACTTGTTATCCATGGCGATAATAACTCAAGTGAAAGGCCATAATATAAAAGAAACACGAGATAAGTTAAAGCAGTTTGTGAGAGAAAACCTAAAAAAACTAATGCAAAACCCTCAATTGGAAGAACGAAATCAATTCCAACCCCCTGACGGTACCAGAGTAGAGACCCGGTTTCGTCGAATCAATGTTGGTTATACAGTGTTTGCAAAGAAGTATACTGAATTTAAGGTGTTGCTTAAAGATCGCTTCGAATCTTGCAATCGGTTTGATGTTTACTTTGCCGATGATGAACAGTCGGCCGAAGAACACTGGAAAGCCTTTGATACTGAAAAGTCTGAAAAGCATTTCACATTCGGAAAAGGTCGCTTAAGATGGTATTGGACTGGAATATACAGAATGGTGTGTGATAGCAAACTGCTAGTTCGCCGGCGTTATTATGAAGTGTTGCCGTATGAGGAAATTTACAGAGGTCATAAAATTCGCATTCCGGGAGATGACAAGGACTATAGAGAATTACGACCGGGTAATAAGAATACATTGTACTTCATGTTTTCTCGCAGCACACAACGTCGTATTCCAGAATCGCTGAAAGTAGACGTTTACGACAGAGCGCTTGATGAAGTAACACGTCAACCAGTACCTCTTAAATTCCTCGCCAAGACGGTAGAAGGGTACATTCATTTTACTTACGAAGTTGACGTTCCAAATCCGAATACGTATCGACGGCCTTTGCAGGCATTTATTACTGTGGATTTTGGGATTCTAAAACACGAAAGGTACGACTTGAACTTAAACGGAATTCCCTGGAAGTTTACCACGGAAGAGAAAATCAATATTTATGACAACAACAAGCATCCATTCGTTTATGATTGGTGGGTTACGTGTCAAGAATCGCGACTACTAAAGCTTTTCCATTTTCACGGTGAAGGTAAGTTCAATCCGGCAATTTTTCACGAATCCGGTTGTCCGGATCGTTTAACCGAAGGAGTATATTCTTGCACATTTCGCTATGCTTCCGGATATGGCGAAAGATTTGAGACCATGGTGGCCATCGGAAATAAGGACGAACCGGTTCATACTTGCTACCGTGAGTCACCACGTCTCCAACCGAATGATGTGTCTGAAACCGAATACATTTTGTCATTTATGCCGGAAAGAAAAAACGATATTTACCATAGAAAATTTGATTGTCGCGTGATGTCGACTACCTATGCTTTGGTGTTTATGTCAATTAACACGCAAAAAAGTGACGTGAAAGACGAATCAAAACTGAAAACACTGGTTGGTGAATTCTATTTCAATCAAATTCAAACGTATTTGTCCGGAGCTCGTACCAATGAATACAGAGAGATACAACTGCCCAAAGGATTGACTATTGCCACTCGACTAATTCGAATCCGTGCCGGATGGCGTGCGTCGGTAAAAAGAGGTGAGCGTTGGTCTATGTACTTCCGTGCATCGTACGATCCCCAAGATTTGACGTGTTTGTATTGGGATAAAACGACCAATAGGAAGAGAGAAATAATTTCGCGTTACTTTCCAAAAACACACTATGTGCATTGGATGGAAAGACCGGCCCAATACAACGATACGGGATACTACGAATGGACTAGCGAGGTAGACAATAAGAAGGTTAGGGTAGGCAGTGTAAAATATTTTTTAGTCATTCCAGATATTGTACTGCTTAGAATATTTGTCAGTCACAAACATTACGGAGAGAAAAATGATTTACAAAATGATCCCCCATTAGATGGGGATTATAAACTTCCCGAAGAGGGAAAAGTATACGTCTATTGTGCATTTACAATTGTCCGTCAATTGCCTAACTATGATAGCTTCAAACTGGTGATTCGTGATCATGGTGATGCTGATAGTCCATCAAATACAATTGAGTTGGAAAAAGTGACGGAAGATAAGACGTGGTATGAGAGACGATTTGTTTTTGAATTCAAAAGTGAAGTGTATCGAACCTACAGATCACCGTACACAGCATCGTGTGAGGTGATCTATAGTGATTCAATATTTCCAGAAGACGATTTGCGTCAAAATAAACATATCGATCCACTGGTACAAAAAGTCACATTGCGAATTGAAGATCGATTACAATATGCACCAATAATTTTCGATAAATATATCAGCACCGATCCCCCCGAAGTGTTGGACAACTATATTCCTGATCAGAACGGAATCAATGCCCGCCAGTTTTACGATACTGGCACGGTAAACCGGATGACCGAACAAATCATGCAATTCAACGTGCATCACTTCTCGGGACGTGATGTCGGATTTGAACGTCTCTGGTTGATCACTGAAAACGGCAAAGTAGACACGTGTTATCAGAAAGAGCGATATGCACTAAAGGAACAGGAGGTTCCAAGTGATGTGGCCACCCGTGTCAAGTTGCTTCGGGTTCAACGAGTATTTCGGTCACAGTTTGTTTGCAAATTGCAACCGGACCAGTTAGCATTAGTCCTCGTCGTGGCCAATGTACAAACCAAGTCTGATCGCGAAAAAGACGTTGAAGGAAGTCTGCGGACATTTTACACCGAATTAATATCATCATTTGCTGCGGATCCCACAGACACGGAAACCAAATCTTACTCTGATGCACCTGATTCATGGAGCACTGGACGCATACAGCGAGTACACGTTGGTTGGAAAGCGTCTGTATTCGCTGGAGAACAATGGAGCTTTTTAGTACGGCATGCATTTGAAGAAAATGAGAATCTTGAATGTTGGTACGCAACATCCCTCTCACAACGGACCATTTATCGTCTTACGAAAACATTGGAAAAATCGGTCACCACTATTACGATGCCATCGGGAGCTGAGATCAGTGACACGGGATATTATGAATGGTGGTACAGAAAATATGGTGTTTGGTTTATCTTGGTTCGGACTCGACGCTTTTATGTCATCCCTGATGGGGACATGGTTCGAATAGTGGTTGAATACAACCCCTTGGTTCAAAATCATTTTGAGAACACTAGGGCATCTAAATCTACCACGTCAATGATGTCATACAACGAACCACTTTATATTCATTTTAAAGTGAAAAAATTTAGCCATGTCCCTCAACCTGGGAATTTTTTCTTTCGCGTTCATGAGGCTCCGTTGACGGGAAGTGACACAAAAGATTTGCAATTCTGGCAGCTGCCTACCACCGAGACTGAATTGGAGACACAATACTCTATCCGATTGATCGGTCCTGAATACGAGACATATAAAAGCCCCATAACTAGTGCGATCACTTTGCAATATGATCAAGTGGAGTTCCCTGCTGAGGATTTACGCGAGGATCAAGTAATTCAACCAGTCTTGGCTGAGCTTCAGATCGGAGTAGAGAAAATGATTCGTCCAATTATCTACGCCAATGCTTCCACCGTGAACAACGCAGATCTGCTTCAAATTCTGCGCACTTCTCACCCGGATTTCAATACTTCATATGCGTACACCCGATCCGCATCACCAAGTCGTATGCACGAAGTTCCGGTCACTTGGATCATCTACGCATGCTTGGGTTATCCCCGAGGTCGGTTCATTCCCCAACTCATTTATAGCTTGAGTGATCAATTGTACTTTAATGAATGTGATATACTGGAATTGGTGAACTTGACCAGCACGGATATCCCGGATCAAGTGAAAGCGCATCCCAGTTTTACGACTCGAAGTGAGACAGCCATGGTCCGAATAAAAGTAGAATGTGTGCTTCAAGCTGAATACCTCGCACTCAATCTACTCATTGTGACGGTGAAAGAGGGTGGGCCGAGTCTTGAACAAGCCGTGAGAGAATTCAACATGTTGTTCACACCGATTCTGCTCTACTGGAACCGTTATCCGGACGACAAAACTGAGATTGCTGTTAACTTTCCTTCGTATGGATTTGTCACGTATCACACATTCAAACTGAATCTCGGTTGGAATGCAACCAGTTCGATAGGATCCCCAATCCGAATACTGGGCTATCGAGGTCTAAGCGAGAAATCACAAATCGAATGTTTCTATCAACCAAACGAGGACAGTGAACCAGAACCGATAGATTCGGAATTCACTATTGAATGGCACAAAGAATATCATGCATTTGATTTGTACCATCCATCTCTCCGATATGATCACAATGGTTTCTACTCTTGTAACATTACAGACGACGCATGTCCTTCGTGTGCTTCCAGAGTGGGAATACCCAGACGTGCACTTCGTGTTCTACCGGATGTGTCGATTAGCCAAATGTATCTCAATTTTGACATTCTCAATTACAATGAATCCTGGGCCGGAAACTATAGTTTTTGTCATCCAGATGGATATCCGGTTCTGTTGAGCGACTCACGTTCTGTGATACACTGTCAGTACTATGCCACGGTGACAAATATCCCTCAACCGGTGGTCTCATTCCGTGTGATTTTGTCCAACAGTACCTCATCACAGAATGTAATAACTGGTCAGATACATCCTAGTATGAGCAAAGAAGAGTACAACATAACACCCTTTTCGTTTTTCACACCAAAACTGGTTGATTACGTTGGCCCGTTAGAAGTGCAGTGCATTTATACATTCAACATTTCTCGGCCTCTACCGCACGATATGAGTGAACACGTGCCGATTGTGACTGTCACCAAATCACGCTTTATGGACATAGAGCCCGTAATTTTTGCTAACGTGTACACAAAATACACGAGAGCAAATGATTTGACCATACACAGACTATATCGTCGTTTGAAAGGACAAGTTTTAACAGCTAAACAGTTCCATGAAAGTGGCTCTAGAAAGCGACATTACGAGAATTCTACTGCAATAAGCCACTTGGTCTCATTCGGCTATCCGTGTGGCTTTATGGATATTCTGACAGTATATAGATCTCAAAACCAGTTTATCTACGAAAAATGTGTAGATATTAATCAATCGGATTACAAAATTGCTCAATTACCGGCTGATGTTCAACCGCATCCAGACATAGAAGATTATTTGGAAGGAAGCTTTGCACAGTTGAATGCTACTTGTTTGTTTCGGCCCGAACATGTTGCCATGACCATTGTTGTGTGTAATGGGCATGAATTCTTTTTCGAACAGGAAACTGTACGTAAACAATTCCAAACACGTTACCTCGAAGTGATTCGTTCATGGGTGCAGAATCCAACAGATTCGTCCCCGTTATGGACCAATTTATCTTACGGTGTGTTTTGCACACACCAGACCATACGTTTGCATGTCGGCTGGAATGCTTCCGTGCCTCTTGGCAATCCTACCACTATGCTGGGATATTATTCAAAACCAATGGTTGGAAAGATTGAATGTTACTTTCGTGCTAAATTGTCAGACCCCTATCAGGTGATAGATGAGGTATTTGAGTATGAGATTAAAGAAAATCCCACATTTTATCTAACAGCGGAAAGTGTCATGTTCAAAGATTCAGGGTTTTACGCATGTAATCTAACTGAAAGATGCCAGAACTGTCCACCACAGATCGTTTTCACTCCACGACAACTAGTAGTTTTGCCCGATATCAAGCAACTTCGAATATATCTTAATATGCGTCGATTTGAAAGTAACACCGAGGCAAGGCCTCACTTCACGCAATGTGAACGCGACAATGTACCCTATTTATTGTGCAAACAGACTGTCTATCTGTACTGCAACTATTTCTATTCGCTTATGCAAGTGGAGAGATCAGAACCGGAAATGCACGGTGTTATGAGTGATGAATTGAATCATACTTATAATTTGGAGACACCTTTTCTAGGCCAATGGAAGGTTGAAAAGCGATATGGAATAAATGCCACAAGAGTATATCAAATTCAAGCCCCATCAGAGCGCAACGTCAAGGGTCCAATCACAGTTACCTGCAAATTACAATACGACAACATGCACACCCCTGCTGAAGACATGAATCCAATAAATGGAACTTATGTCGTCTCTGTGGCGCGTCTAATCCGAGTCAGTGTACGACTAAGACCGAAGATCTTTCGACAATTTACGACCATGAGCAGACCGATATTGGAAGATAAATTCATCAAGCAGACTACCAACTCCATCACTAGTGCAGTGAACTTCGAGAACACTGCAATTACGCACAAACTGATCGAGGGCATTGTGAAAACCGATCTGGTTATTAGTCTGGGAACACCTCGGGGATTTGCAAGTTTGATGATGTTTTACATTCAAAGAAATATTACTCGTTGGACAACCTGTGAACCAATGGTTGTGCACAATTTCAAGTCAGATGACATTCTTCCTGAACTGGCAGGAACCGACGAATGGCTGGACGCTAATGGAAAAAATTTCATTCGACTTCGTACAATTTGTCCATTCATGCCTATCCACATGGCCTTCGCTGTGGTTGTGGTCAATTCGTTTGATCGTTTCGAAGATCCAATATCGGTGCAGCACGGTTGGCTCAGTCAGTTTGCTAGCTATTTGAAAATGTGGATTTCATATCCGGATGACGCGAGTGAGGTCGATCTGGATTTGTTTCCCTACGGGTATTTGGAATTTCAAATAGTGAAAATTCGAGTCGGTTGGCGTGCCACAATCAAAGTTGGGGAACCATTGACACTGTTCGCAACTTTGGGTACGGAAGGATTTGGTGAACCGCACTGTTTCTACAAAACGTCCGAGGGTCGAACCGACAGAACCAGAACCATTCGGACAATCGGAACATCAGGTGATCCATTCTTTATTCGTTCTGATTTGGCCACATGGACCTATGAGTTAATCAAGCCGCACGCGGAACCGACTGATTCTGGTTATTATTGGTGTCAAACAGACAACTGTCCGGTATGCACGTTGCACAACTACGGTCTCCCACGCCGTTTGATTGTCTTATCGGATAGAGTAGAAATTCTCACCGTGGCAACGGAAGACATGCTGAAAATCCAGAAAGTGGGCAATCAAAGTGATACAAGTTTTGCGAAAATTGTTATCACACCGATTGGATGGCTTCATGAGAACAGTGAGTATTTTGTGCACTGCGAATTACGCATCACGACCGGAGTGACTATGAGACCATCGATTTATTTCAAAGTCGGTCGGGGAAGTGGTGAAGGTTCCACACTGGTCCCAATACCGTTTGAAAAGATTAGTGAAATTGAATTGAAACAAGCTAATTACACTTCCGTATTGGTTTCATACAAAGTGGTGTCACCGAAATTCGAGACAGAGTATGATTTTGTTCAAATGACTTGCGGAGTACGCTTTGATGATTTGATCCCACCGGAAGATATCAATGCAAATCTTGGTGTGTCCAATTTGGAAACGGTGATTCGGAAGAAACTCAGACAAATACGTGTTCCAAAAATTGAATGGAAAACAGCCGAGCTGGATCGAGAACAACTACAGCAGTTCATTCGCCTAGAACAATTCAGAGATATTAATTTGTTTACTTTCAATCAAATGGTGTCTAAAAATAGAACACCGGAAGGGATTCTCAATGTTCAATTTGAAGTGGACTACGGTGTTCCTCGTGGATGGTTATCTGTTTGGCTGATTTATCCACAATCAAGGCGCTTGGTTCGCGATGATTGTCACCCAGCTGAAAGTGATCAGACTATGACTAACAAGAGCCAAATCCAATTGGACAATACGGACGCAGCCAGATATGCGTCAGAATTGACTGGTGAAAACGAGGAAGAAGATGACGGTAGCCGGGATACCGAAGAGAGTGCTGAGACATGGACGACAGTGAGACTGCAATGTCTTCTTCAACCGGAACACGTTGCAATTTTATTCGGCATTNTGCATACGACAAAGTCAAAATACAAATCACAAGTAGAAGACAATTTCACGACAACTGTACTGAATGTGGTCAGCGGTTGGCTACAGTCGAATCAAACGAGTTCGAATGAGACTATTTCGTTTGCGGATCATGTTAACGGGGTGTTTCGTCTGCTCAAACTACGAGTTGGATGGCCTGCGTCCGTTAACTTGGGTCATCGAATAGTCATGTTTGGTCGATTAGGTAAACACCATGTTGCAATCCCATATTGTTTTTATGGAACTAAAAGTCCTACCCGTCCTTTGGACAGCAAGGCTGGTTTTCAACTTACTATATCACCAAACGGATACTACTTCACTTTGATCAAACCAGAGGCGGAATTCGGCGATTCTGGAATCTACATGTGCAAATTGGAACATTGTACGGATTGTCAAATGAATTTCGGTATGCGAAGACGTCGGCTCCTGGTACTGCCTGATCCTAGCATAATTCGTCTGCAGCTTATCGCCAAACCGGAAGTGGAACGGTTTTACAAAGACTGTGGCCAACCACAAAACCCAAATGTGAAGCCAGGAGACACAGTCCGTATGAGCTGTTCCTATCCGATTGCTAAGGGTTCCCGAAGGATTGTTCGCAGTCAAGTTTACTATGCAGATTCGAATCAAGTTGGTTTTGGTCGACCAGTGATAAAGCCGGATATGAGACGAACAGAACAGGATCGCGTAACCATGGTAACCAAATCATTCAACGTGAACACTCCGATCGGTAAGCAAACAGGTGTGCGTATCACGTGTACAATTGATTTTTCTCAGATCACTGTGTCCAAAGATTTGACTGATGAAATCCCATCGATTGTTCTGAGTCAAGAGAAGACGTTGGTTTTGTTTCGTCCTCAACCGCCTCTGATTCAGACTCAATCAATATGGACAAATCGTAAATCTCTCACTGAGCAGCTCCAAGCCGCTGGATCATATACAGACGGTGGGACATTCATGCATAGTACCCCCGATACACGCATGGAAGAGGGTGGTCTGAGACTGGAGTTTAAAGCTAATGTTGGGGAGCCACGCGGTTGGGTTTTGGTTTGGCTCATATACAGTCTGGATGAAAAGTTGCACAAGGATCCTTGTTATCGAGTGGACATTAGTGCAATAAATGACAAATTAGTATACGTCAAGGCTGCATGTCTGATACAACCGGAACACGTGGCTCTGTTTTTTGCACTGGTCACAAATACAGGAAACGGTCTGTCCGAGGAGCGAATCAATAAACGAATAGAAGATCTCATCATTTTCAACATCTCTAGTTGGATTAATGACTCGAGAGTGCAATCCGAACGAACTAAAGTCGATCAATGTTACATCCTCGACTATCGGTTGGTACGATTGCATATTGGCTGGCGAGCATCAGTTCTGTTACAAAGTCCTTTTCGTATGCGAGGACGACTGGGCGGACGAAATAGTTCTGAGATTGTATGTTCTTATCGTCCGGAAAAGCAATCGAATTCAACTGCATTATCGGAACGATTTGTCTACGAAATAGATCCTATGTTTGATCAGTTTATCCTCACTGTGAACCAGGCTATTTTAGAAGACACTGGCTGGTACGAGTGTCGACTACGTCAAGCTGAAAGCAAAGTTATCAACATTGGTATGCCGTTACGTCAGCTGTTTGTTTTACCTGATAACGAGTCGATTCAATGCGCCATGACGGCTGTTCGCACCGATGGTCACGTGGCATTAGATTCGCAGCGAACGAGCAACGGCACGCAATATTTGCTGGCAAAGCAAACAGCTTACATACAATGCATCTACAATCGTACGCTGGAACACTACGGAAAAACTGAGTTTGAATTTCATTATCGTATGCTTAACAGCTCCTCTAATCAGTGGATAGAGAATTTCCCTGAAAAGAAGGTGGATTTTGTCCCGTCCGGGGAAAAGAACAACTCGCAAACGCCTGTGAGCAAAACTTATCGAATTGTCGCTATCGGATCACAACAATATATAGGGATGATGGATGTGGCTTGTGTGCTTGCGTTTCATGGGCTTATTTCACCACTGGATATTCAACCACCACACGATCCATTCGAAATCGGATGTAATCAATCGTTCACCATTCTTCAAGGTGCAAGTGGAATGCTACAATTTAAAGCAATCGCCAAGGATGTCCATTCCAAACCTATTCCTCGTGGGTCAAAAATCGAATGCACGGGAGGATTTGGTTCACCTCCACTCACCTACAGCTGGACTCGTATTCGAGCAAAACCGTACGCAGGTGAGGAGATATATGTCGAAGATAAAATGTCTGAATATGATAGACAGCTTAGAATGGACATAGCCAGTGTTCTACCTGCAGACGGTCCTGAAGGTGGATGGGGTGGACCGGCAAATCCGTTTCTCGATTCACCTACTCAGGAGCCTTATTCTGATCGCCAATTCCTGTTTATTCCATCCAACTTATCCTATCGGGGTATGAACTATCTTTATGAATGTCGCGGTCAGAATGTGGTGGAAAACGCCACTTTTAGCATCACACGACTCCTGCACATCTCAGTTCTTATTTGTCCCACACGACATGTACAGTTAGATTTATCAATTATGGTTCTGTCAAATATTCTGTCCGCTTGTTCACTGCAACAGAATCCGGATGCACAAATTCAATTCTACGGCTACTATTTTCTTAGTTTCGTTCGACAATTAGTGCTCGGCTTGCCCTATGAACTCGACAGAACACGAATTAGCCTGGTCGTTGAAAAACCACTACAAATGGGAAGGGAACAAACGAACATCATCACATTTGATCAAATCTACGATCGTTTTGATTTGGTGCGCAATTTGTACTCAAGAGATAACAAACCTATTACTGACCAAACCGCCTGCACGGACCAGCCGACACGTTTGAACAAACTGTTACGTCTGGTTCAGAAAATTCATCGTCAACCATTCACTCGAACTCAGGGCACACTGTTATCGTTGGATGGAATGGCACAAACAAAGTTGTCATCCTATGGCCAAGATGCAGCACGAGATTTGCATGAGAACAATGTGAACATTTTATTAACCCTGTTGTACCCGTTTACAAATTTGTCCGTGTCTAATTTCACAGTGTTGATGGATCAGTTGAAGCCATGCAACGTAACTTCTCTCATACCAGGTTTTGAAGGTGCACGTGATTGTGAGACATGCAATTTGGGATTGAATGCACCCAGTTTACAAATTCAACGTCTTCCGTTGTTCGATGCTATTTGTCAACTTGGTGGCAGTGAGCCACCTGGCAAAGTCCCAGAACCTGTATTCATCTTTTCCGAGCCTGAGGTATACTGGGTGATTGGTTATTCACCCAGCATTGGTTGTAGAACTAAACTGACACGTGCACTTGAACATTGGGAAAAATTTGTGTCTTTCGCACTTTGCATTACTTCAGAGAGTAAGGGAGAAAAAATGCGACGGGAACGGAATGACGTCACACTCCAAACACTGATTGATTCTTGCGATAGTAAAATCGGAGAAAACACGCAGTCAACTCAAGGAACTCCACAATCAGAATCATTTGGGGCCTCGGGAATCTATCCCAGTAACATCTCCATGAAGAATTCCGTATTGCTGTGTTTTTACCGCGTTGGCGAAACTGATCCCGAAGTAAGTTGCACAGTGTGAGATCGATGTGTTATCTCTGAACAACGATAAAGTGAGGGATTGGTTTTGACTTATGATCAGCATAAACTGAGAAGTACTAACCAATTTTACGCAAATAAAGGGTTGTGTTGAACGCGTGATGGTGGTACAACGTCCATGTACTGACACTCATATCGGATATCGAATAGCGGCAGGGCACCGATACATTACAAAAGCATAAAGTCACGTGGAGACTTCACACGTACTCCGGCAACTTAGCTTAGTATTGAATAACACAGAGGACAGGTATATAACTGAATCGTGCTGCTGCTATTTGGCAGTGAATTGACATTTCGCAGAACTGGCAACCCCGTTGTTATTCGTCCGTAGACATAAGAAATGGTGTGACGTGCAAGGGTTCCTATGGAATCAATGACAGTGCTTGATTCCCCGTGTCCAATTTGAACAGCGAGTGAGAAGAGCAATCTCTATACGAGTGTGAATAGCCGGCAATACGAAGTTCAACTATGCCTATTATATACATATATACACCCTGTCGGACCACTCAAAATTTCGTTATCGAATGCGATGAATCGGTACGTAAAATGTCAGAAATTGTAAGAAATTTAGGAATGTGTATTTTCTATTTCATAGCTTTTCTCGTGGAAAATTCCTTTGCTCCAGATATCTAGTCAGCTAAGAAATGACGAACATACGGTTATCGGTACTCGTGGAACAAATAACTATGTACCGTAACTACTTGGTTGGATACGTGGATGTGCATTTTTAAGATGAGTGTGAAGTAGGCGAGTGGTCCTTGATGCTAACACAACTGATGGTTTCGTGTACAAAACAGAGTGAGATGGTGGTCAAATCGGTGTAGAGGGTTCTCAAGAATAGCAATCTTTTTGTTTCTTTCGTCGTACACTTTCTGATCCTGTGTTGTGTTTTAGATTATCGTTTGCTTTTTACGGCGGACGGGATTTCAACAGACAAACCGTCGTGCATTTTATTTCTATTTCGATTCACATCTCTTAGCTTTTCTAACCAGCGACAATCCTCATCCTTTGACTCCCAGCCTGCATCAACTGACGCAAAAGCTGAAGCTAGTCTCACCATACCTCTACGACTTGCACAACACGTGCAAAGAGTACAGAAAAGTAGACGATGGGCAGATATATAGAAAACGTGACCAAACCATAGGAGGCGATTACTACTTTTAGAACACCACTATCCGCATCCAGCACACGACGACGAACCTCACCAATGCTCACTCGATGTTATCTTCAAACTGGAGCAGTGCTACGGAGACATCAATGATCGAGTACAGAAAGTCGATTAGCAACCCGAATGCAGAGGGGTCAGGTCTCGCAATCGGAAAGGAAAACACCATGAATCACAGCAATCTACACCTTCCGTTAATAGATAGTCGGATGTCATGATTGCGCCACAGATGTCGCAGGTCGGTAAAAGCTGCCCTAGCTTTCGCTAATCGTGATTTGACCTCCTCCCTAACACAACCTCTATTTGTGATCAAGCTCACGAGGTACTTAACGCTCCTAATCACTTTCACCTGATCACGCAGCGGTGTCAAACGTGTTACACTATCTGTGTATTGTCACCCAACAAATCGATGTCATCGGCATATTCCCGGTTAAGAAGAGTGTTACAGTGTTATTCTTATTGTAATTCAATAGTCAGCGTGTGCATGTGCAACGTAGTGCATCTGTATATGAAGCATGCACCGTGAGAAGAAGTAACAATGAGTCTCCAAGAACGGGTGCGTAAGTTGATTTCACTTTGAACTACATGTCCAGTTCAATGAACCTGAGTCAGTTGGTACCAAGCGCAACTGGATAACGTGTTTGGAATGGAGGTTCAATTTGTATTGATTTAGCTGAAGTGTATCTGTATCTCACAAATGAGTTGTCTGTCAAAACTATGCGAAGATCGTTTAAAGAGCGAGAACGTTGTTGCACAAATATTCTCACTTTATGTTCAACTTGACTGTCGGCATGCTGAATTTCACAGGGTTAAAGAGGATACGCCAAGTTCGATACAAAATAAGCTAGCCAGATCGACTGATATGAAGGTGCGGTTAAGTTCGTGATCTAGAATTTGTACAAAATCACTTAAATTTGCTAGCTGCGCGCGCCCTTCGATTGGCTGCGCTACACTTACACGCTCTCTGTCACATTGTGGGAATTTTCACCTTTTCACTTACTATAATGAGCCGTCGTTACTCACGGGATGATATTATTTGTTTCAAACGTGCCTGGACATGCTTCGATGGTTCAGCGGTTTGTGCGACTCCATTTTCTCACTGTCCAGGTTGGACCAAAAACGCAAGTGTGCAGGATGGCAAGTTGCCCTTAACTGCACCCCTCTATCGAAGATGACTGTCCTCTCATTGGTCATCACCAACACTCGGTCTCTGTTTCCCAAAATGTCGGATTTAACTAGTGTCCTCCGATCGAGAATTCACACGAACACATGTGCAGTCTGTGTTCAATAATCCTGGTTGAATAAGGACGTAGATGCCTCCCTAGTGTCAATAGACGGTTTTCAAGTTTACCGACACGATCGTGGAACCGGAGGAAAACAGACCGGGGGAGGGGGTTTTACCACATATGTCAATGTTTCCTGGTGTGGCAAGTTCAATGTTGTTTGTCAGTACTGTTCAAAAGGTATTGAGTGCCTAACTACACAGTGTCATCCTAGATTTTCCCGTTTTACTCACACAATTTTACTAACTTGTATATAGCCCCCTCCTGTACACAGTCTGATCGTGTCATTTTTCGACTCATTCATACCTTTTATTGCCCCACTTTTAGATTTTAATCTGCACATAGTCGTTGGTGACTTCAACCATACTAGCACTTATTCACTTTTATCATTGGGTATGACAGATCTGTCACTCTCCCAAAAGAGGTAGCTCTATATTGGACAGAGTTATTACCAACCACCCAACCCTTTTTTCTTTAGCAATAAAAGCTCCTATTTCTTCCAGTGACCACTGCTTACTCTTAGTTTGACCTAATTTTCATTCACATAGTGCGTACAAATCTTTCTCCCAATCTGAGCACATCAGATTTCGTTTTCGTAACTTCTCACCTGCACGTGCTTCTCTCCTGAATGAATCTCTCAGACGGGCCTCCCGATGGTTTTCATCATCTCTGCTCACATGTGTCCCCCTATTCACCCAAACAATCAATGCCATTTTTAATTACTGCCCCTGTTCAAAGTCCCTATGTGTCCAGGATAAACTCCGCCCTATTAAAGTCGCTGTGCCTACAATAGGAACGTGCGTACAAATCTCACAATGCTTCAGCTGTTAGATATTTGTCCAGGCTTATCAAAGCTGAAGTAAATAAATTGAACGCATTATTCGCTGATCGAATTCTGAGGACTGGAAACAGCAAACACCTGTGGCAAGGTATAAGACTTCTCTGTTGAAGGAAGAAAGGACCGTCAAAGCTGGATGTGCACACTGATGATCTCAATGCCACATTCCTGCACCAATCATCGGACATTCTTCCTGCCTACTCGTCACAAAATGTTTGTAACGTGGAACCACTCTTATACTGTGATGTGTTAAAACTTTTAAAAAGTTGCAAGTCGTCTTCTGCTGCAGGCCCGGATGACTTACATCCAGCCCTCTTCAAACTTGGTGTTGCTTCACTAGCTGGGGCAATTACCTCCATTGTAAATGAATATCTTCACACTTCTACTATCCCCGAGTGTTGGAGATCGGTCACAATCATACCAGTCCCCAAAGCATCCAAATCCTCTATCCTCTCCAAAAGTTTTCGTCCCATAGAATTAACATCTTCAGTTCTTAAATTGACTG